CTTTACCGATGATTATTCTAGGTATGGGTATGTATACTTGATGAAGTACAAGTCTGAAACATTTGAAAGGTTCAAAGATTTTAGACACGAAGTAGAAAAGCAACTCGGACGAAGTATTAAGAAGCTGCGATCCGATCGTGGTGGAGAATACTTGAGCATCGAGTTCATTGACTATCTAAAAGAAAATGGGATACAGTCCCAATGGACTCCACCGGGAACTCCTCAACTTAATGGAGTATCCGAACGTCGGAATCGAACTTTATTAGATATGGTTCGATCAATGATGGGGTTCACAAACTTACCGGCATACTTGTGGGGTCATGCACTCCGTACTGCCGCGTATTTGCTGAATAGAGTTAACACCAAAGCAGTTAAATCCACACCTTATGAACTTTGGCATTCCCGAAAACCCAATTATAAACATATTAGGATATGGGGTTGTCCCGCTTATGTGAAGCGATTAATGGGAGATAAGTTGGACAGTAAATCCGACTTGTGCTATTTTGTGGGGTATCCCGAAGACTCGATGGGATACGAGTTCTACTATGTCAAAGAAGCAAAGACGTTTGTTTCAAGAAATGCCACCTTTTTGGAAAGGGAGTTTCTATCCGATAGAAAGGGCAGCATGATAGAACTTGAAATAGTTCAAGAACCACAAAATGAAGTTCAAACGCAAGAACAAATAATCGAACCAATACAACAAGCCACTAATATACCTCCTGAACCTACGGTGCGTAGATCCGAAAGAGTTCGGAAAATGCCGGATAGGTTATTCCTCCTCGAAAATGATGAAGATCATGTTGACCTTGGACGAGATCCAAGAACATATAATGAGGCCGTATCGGATGCGGACATGGGACATTGGCTAACTGCCATGAAATCCGAAATGGACTCCATGTACTCCAACAAGGTGTGGACCTTGGTAGATCCACCTAAGGGAATTGTTCCTATAGGCTGCAAGTGGATCTATAAGAAGAAAATTGGAGTTGATGGAAAGGTATCGACCTATAAAGTTAGATTGGTAGCAAAAGGATACACTCAAAGGCAAGGTGTTGACTATGAGGAAACCTTTTCGCCAGTCGCGATGCTGAAGTCCATTAGGATTTTGCTGGCCATAGCTGCGTGGTACGACTACGAGATATGGCAAATGGATGTGAAGACCGCCTTCCTTAATGGAGATATTGAGGAAGAAATTTACATGGCGCAGCCGGAAGGCTTCATATCTTCTGGAAGTGAGCAAAAGGTTTGCAAGCTCCAGCGATCCATTTATGGATTGAAACAAACATCCCGTAGTTGGAACATTAGGTTCGACTCAACTATCAAAGAGTTTGATTTTGAGAAGAATCCGGAGGAACCTTGTGTATACAAGAAGGTTAGTGGGAGGGCAGTAATATTTCTAGTGCTTTACGTTGATGACATTCTACTCATTGGGAATGACGCAGGAATGTTACAGCAAACGAAAGCATGGTTGTCCACACGTTTCTCAATGAAGGATTTGGGAGAAGCATCTTATGTTTTAGGAATACGCATCTATAGAGATAGAGCAAGAAAGATGCTTGGCTTATCCCAAAGCCTGTACATAGACACCGTTATGAAACGGTTTAGCATGGAAGAATCCAAGAAGGGATTCTTGCCAATGTCCCATGGGGTTCGTCTCTCGAAATCTATGTGTCCCCAAACACCTAGTGAAATCGATGAGATGAAAAGGACGCCATATGCTTCTGCCATAGGAAGCATAATGTATGGCATGCTGTGTACGAGACCCGATATTGCGTATGCTGTGAGTGTCACAAGCAGATATCAGTCTAACCCCGGCCCGGCTCACTGGAAAGCCGTGAAAGATATCCTCAAGTACTTGCGAAGGACTAAGGATATATTTTTGGTCTATGGGGGTGCCGAGTTGAAATTAGAGGGTTTCACTGACTCTAGTTTTCAATCGGACGTGGACGACTCAAAGTCGAATTCTGGATTTGTATTCACGCTTAATGGTGGTGCCGTGTGTTGGAAGAGTTCCAAGCAAAGCACGACGGCCGATTCCACTACCGAAGCGGAATACATTGCAGCGTCCGAAGCTGCAAAGGAAGGGACTTGGATAAGGAAGTTCATCCAAGAGTTGGGTGTCATTCCTGATGCTAGTGATCCAGTACCGTTGTACTGTGATAACACCGGAGCCGTGGCACAAGCTAAGGAGCCGCGATCTCATCAGAAGTCGAAGCATATTCTGAGGAAGTATCACGTGATCCGAGAGATCATTGATAGAGGTGAAGTTAAGGTAGAACGAGTCACCTCGGAAGAGAACGTTGCAGACCCCTTCACGAAGCCTTTACCAAGATCGGTCCATGAGAAACATCGAGAGTCGATGGGATTGCGGTTTATGGGTAGTTGGCTTTAGGTCAAGTGGGAGATTGTTAGAGTAGGTGACCAACAAGCCAACTTGTGGCTGTGGTCTTTCATATTTATTATTATAATAAACAAACCTTTATTCGTATTAATGATAAAACACATTGGCATTCTATATCTTTGTCCCTTTGTCACAAGCATAGATATAGTCCTTACAGTTATTACAAGTACTAGTAATTGATCGTTAGGATCGTGAGATATTTACTTAAGTATTATAACTGTTAAACGCGTTCCTAGTCGAAGGGTTACGCCACTAATGAGGATATCGGCCTTTCCCATTAAGACTAGCACTTAGTGTATGTGTACTGCATCTCATCAGTAAACGGTATTGTGATATCGGCATGCATAAGTGGGTGCTCGTAAGTTGACGAGTTCACTGAACTCCCTCACCCTAGAAATCTCTAAGTGGTTCCCAATAATCGAGTAGAGATATCTATGGTATAGTTGTATACCATTAGTCCTTATGACCTAGACATCACCGTGACTTCACTAGAGGACCAGCTGTATCGTGACCTGTCCCTGAGTTCCACCGAGGACCATCCCAAGGGCCAGTGTTCGTGCAGTCCGAAATCTAGTGGGAGGTCTGTGCATTGTAGTCGGGGATTCGATCGCTAGAATAGTCTTGGATGTCCTGTGTGTTCTGAAAGTTTGTAATCATTCTAAGTCTCTGGCCAGAGCTGACTAAGTGATGATTAGAGAATTCGATTCTCTAAGTCATGCACGTAAGGATTACAACACTTAGAACGATCGCACCGTCATCGAACATATAAAGAGGTCTCGATGAACCAATGCCTCTAGTTCGATCGGGACATATGAATCGAAGGGACCGTACTGTACGTTAACTATATCTGAAGGTTCTTGCAGGCACTTCATTTGTATCTAGGGAATCATGACGCGTAGTTGCTAGACGCCAATCTTGATTCGTTGGGTGATTAAGGTGAAACGAGCTTCATCTTAATCGTAACTCGAAGGGGACGAGTTTTGACCACAAAGGGTTGTGGGCCCACGGCTAGCTTACACTTGAACCATCGAGGGTCACACTGCTCGTGCACATGAGATCTTTGAATAAACGGTCAGAGATAAAATAGTTTATCTTTGCATGATTGGAAGTCAATATGATTGAATCCAACATTCGTAATTTGGAATTACGAATGAGAATAAGAAAAGGAAAAGAATAGGCGAACATGTTAGTGAACTTTCTAAATCGAGAAGTTTCCAAATTTAGAAAGTCCACTGAACTAGGGTTTCCACTTTTGGAAAGTTGGAAAACAAGAGATGGCACTCGTAATGACGAGGAAGTTATAATGATTCCGAAAATGTAATCGTTGCAATTTTTCGGTCATTGAATTGAGAGATACGAGCAAGTAAAGGAACTAACGAGCTTAAGCTGTTGGGCCCAGTCCAACTTAAGCCCGCTAGGGTTATATGCAAGGGACTATAAATACATGACTTATAGCCCTTACACAAAAACATGAAACCCTAACCCTAAAGCGGCCGACCCTCTCTCTTTCGCCCTCTCTCCCGTGCGGCCACCACCGCACCACCGTCGCCGCTCCGTCGCCGGAACCGGCCGTTCGTCGGCCGTTCCTTGTTCGGTATTCTTTCTCCTTTCTTTTTCTTCCGTTTTATTCTAACTACTTCGTGTCTAGTGCCACGATTTAGTAGATCGAAGTATACGAGGTGAAATCCGAGAGGAGGAAGACTGTAGATCGAAAAGTCGAGGAGCAACGCACGAGCCGAAGCCACACGCTGCCCCACGCGCCGTCCCGAAGCCGCGCGTACACTACACGCGCCGCCGTGACCTCACGCGCCGCTGCTGCCGTTGCACCGCTGCTGCCCCGATTCTACGGATTGGTTTCCGTAGTAATCACGAAGTGCTAATCGCTCCTACCTCACGCGTCAAGAGGTAAATATACGAAACCCTAGTTTCGTTTAGGGTTTAGTTTAAACTATGATTTCATGCTTGTGTTTGTATGATTTTATGTGATTATGTGTAATCGGTTTTAAATCATTGCAAGCATGTTATTTGGTTTAAATTGCGAGCATGTTAATTGATTTAAGTACGGTTAAGTTTATTAGCATGTATGTTGTTTTATTTTCGCTGGAAGCGCAAAGGTACGCAATTAATTGAATTTAATTTATCGGGCATGTTCTTATGTGTTTTTAAAGTCGTTTAAATCGCATAAATTTTTGTTTTCCGCTGCGTATGCGTGCCCGAAACCCAACATAAGGGCCACAGGCTGGCCCAGTCCACGGAGTAAAACTGAAATTATATTGTTAGGTTGCGGGCGGGCCGCAGACCGACGGACCTAGGCTGAAATTTGTTTATCACTACATTAGGGCTGACCATAATTTACCCTGAATTAAACAATTTGTCATCCCAAAATACAAATTGTGTCTAGTATACCAAACAACTGTTATGTTATGGTTTTGGAATTATTTTCGGAATTTAAATTGGATTGGAAATCAAAATCTCATATGTATTCTATTTCCGATTCAAACAATATCGGAAGAATCGGAAATTGGAATTTTCGAGATTGGAATGCAAAATATTATTCCAAAATCCGAAAATTCTGGATCGGAATCGGTGAAGGATAATCATAACGACCTGTCACCTTTACATCAAAATAAATGCCTTCATTGCATCCTTTTTACTGGTACCTCATACTTGACCTCAAGAGAAAAATGGTACATACAGAAAAATAAATAAAAATTATCGAAAACTTAATCAAACATATGCACCACGAAGATAAACATTCATCTCAACGTACTCCGATTACTTCGAAATAACCATTAAACGGAGACGATTGAAAATACTAATCTAAGATTAGGATAACATCAAGAACTGCACATGCAACATGCATTTGAGATAGTTAGTAGTTACTCGAAATATACAAAGATCGTTCAAGTAATTGTGATACCCTGTCGATTCCAAAAAAGATCGAATTGAGCCATCATACACAAAAGATCTTGTCCCATTTACACCTCAAAAGAAAATAGTTTCACCTGCACGTTAAGGAACGTGTTAGAATCGTTAAATTAAACAAACACATTTTACAGATGAGTTCGTTTGTACGTATTGACTATTAGATATGTAAACAGCCCCGAAGATAAAGCATAGCATGGTATTATTTACGCACACGACGAATCACGAATACGGTTCAAAGTCAAGTTAATCCCGAGTTAAGCCAACGATTTAAAAATGTTGTAGAAGCAGTAACCAATGGGGACAATTTTGACAAGTGCTGCATTATGGCACTTTAAATCGAACTTTTAAGAAACATAAAACCACACCCGGACCAAAAACATCATCATCAATCGATATTAAAGAGAAGCTACTCATAAACAAAGACGTTAAACTCAGCATTGCACAAAAAGAATTTTTAACCGCATAGTTGTTAAACAAGACCACACAACGCTGAATTTAGAGCAAAGTCGAGCATGCCCAAAAACATTATGTAAATAGTTGTTATCCATGCGATCGAGCCACTTACCATTAAATTGTATCACGAGTCTTCGATCCATTTATCCATGACAATCGGGTCATCGGGTTTCTTGGTAATTGCGTATTCCACCACCGCCCTGATTGACAAGAGAGGCACCGCAAAAGCCACCGAAAACGGAGGACGCTTTCCTTTACCACCTACGAACCACGACGCGATTCCGACGAGCTCACTGTCCATGTTGAAAATAGGGATCCCGTGATATTTTAGTAGGGAGCCAGCAAGCTCTTCTCTGCTGATGATGCTAATTACTTAGATCACCTGGGGTAGTGTAGAAAACGAACTGGGAGCAAAGCAGATCAGTAGCTTGGCAACTTGATGATCCTGAGGTACCTGCGAAATGAACACACGTGAACTACGCCGGGGGTTGATCCGGCGGAAACCCCTCCGACGCTCAAGTCACACGTGCTGATAGTGGAAATAGTTCAGAGAATACAGTTGATAGTATTGCTCAGTTAATAGGACGTACCTTAAGGAATGAATTCAAACCTTTATTTATAGCTTAGTTGAGATTGTCGGGCCCAAACCTTACTTGAAGGTGATTGGGTCTCGGTGATAGTGGTCTTCGATATTGGGCTCGTGGCCCAGTAGGTAAGTAATTTGTAGGCCCATTGGGTTGGCCCAATTATGCATATCATTAAGCCCCCCACTCTCGATTCGATGTGGGGGCCATGTTGAAATGGGTGTCAGATCGTGTCGAGAGTAAAATTTGTAGAAGTCGATTGTTGGCGTATGGTCTAATGGTGTGCGAAAACGCATCGGAGCGTGTGTCGGAGGGGCGTGAAGGCGCGTTGGCGCGTAGCGCAACCAAGTTGTCGCGATGTAAGTTACTTGAGTCGTCGGTATTGTCCCGCGACGATGTAATAGCTCGGATCAAGTTATCTCCTCGTGGGAGTTGTCTCGTCGCGGGGTAATAGGGTTGATCGAGTTATCTCCTCGTGGGAGTTGTCTCGCGATAATGTAGTAGCACATAGCGAGTGTTCTCCTCGTGGGAGTTGTTATTTATCGACATTGTCAATGTTGTGACGCGTTGCTTGTATGTGTTTACATATAGCCTTGTGCATGATGTACTTGATGAGGGGATCAGGCTCTCAAGATTTTTATATGGGGATCGTGCCCTTTGTTAGACCTCGTGGGTCGTAAGTATGTTTGGACCGTGGCCACGTTTTAATGAATGACCCATCGAAAACAAGTAGATAAATTTGAGTAATCAAGCTGGCCAGGCTATATAGATTCCCATAATATTTCTAAGTGTTTCTAGGGTTGTAATCGTGCTAACGTGAGCTTGCGATTATATAGTGAAGTTCGGGCGAGTTGTCTCCTCATGGGAGTTGTCTCGCAGCGAAGTTGTAGAATCATTGGATGACGCGCGACTGACGAGTGTGCGGATTGATGTCGCTCTGAGCGATTTCTCTCCTCGTGGGAGTTATCTCGCTGAGGGTTCGTAGTACCGAGCGAGTTGTTTCCTCGTGGGATTTTCCTCGCGAGGGGTTGTAGGTCCGAACGAGTTGTCTCCTCGTGGGAGTTGTCTCACTGCGGGATCTAGGACAGAGCGAGTTTGCTCCTCGTGGGAGTTGTCTCGCGGCTGGTTGTAGGACCGATCGAGTTTGCTCCTCATGGGAGTTGTCTCACTGCGGGATGTAGGACAGAGCGAGTTCTCTGCGCGTAGGAGTTATCTCGCTGTGGTTTCGTAGATCCGAGGGAGTTGGCTCCTCGTGGGAGTTGTCTCGTTGCGGGTGGTAGTACTGAGCGAGTTTGCTCCTCGTGGGAGTTGTCTCGCAAGCCCCCCACTCTCGAGGCGATGTGGGAGCCAAGTAGAAAGGGGTACCGGATCGTATTGAGAGTAGATCTGTGTTGTAGTCTTGCTTTAATCGTTGGCATGGATCGTTGGCATGGCGTGGAGAAATAATTTTTTTTATTTATCCGTTTGATAGCGAGCGCGATTTGGTAGGCGCGTTGAAGAGTTCGCGCGATTTGGTGGAGCGCGTTGAAATTCTCGCGCAATTTGGTGAAGCGAGGTGAAATCTACACGCAATTTGGTGGAGAGTAGCAAAAGTTGTGCCCAATAAGGTGGGAGCGCGCGCTCCAAGGTGGTCTTGGGAGGCGCGCGCGCGTGTGAGATTTTTTATTTTTTTATTTTTTTTTTTCTCTGGCGCGCGTGCAGTGCACGCGCGCGCGTCTGGCGCGTGTTCGCCACGCGCGCGTGTTGTGCACGCGCGCCTCTCCTTCCTCCTTTTTTTTTCCTGGCGCTCGTGCACTGCACGCGCGTCTGGCGCGTGTTCGCCACGCGCGCGTGCTGTGCACGCACGCCTCTCCTTCCTTTTTTTTCTTTTTTTTTTTTTTTTTTGGGAATGGAGCCGCGCGCGCGCGGCTCGGCTGCATATCCTTCTTTTTCATTTCATTTTTTTTTTTTTTTTCTTCTTCTTTCTTCTTTTGTTTTTTCTTCTTGTACTCTCTTTTTTCTTCTTCTTTTTTCTTCTTCTTTTTTCTTCTTCTCTTTTTTCATCTTCTTCTTCTTTTTTCTTCTTTTCTTTTTTCATCTTCTTCTTTTTTCTTCTTTTCTTTTTTCATCTTCTTCTATTTTTTCATTAGGGAGATTATCCTCGTTCCTTGATATGGGATGTGCACCCCCTTGGGGATGTTCTATTTTTTGAGTAGGGAGATTATCCTCGTTCCTTGAGATGGGATGTGCACCCCCTTGAGGATGTTCTATTTTTTGAGTAGGGAGATTATCCTCGTTCCTTGAGATAGGATGTGCACCCCCTTGGGGATGTTCTATTTTTTTAGTAGGGAGATTATCCTCGTTCCTTGAGATGGGATGTGCACCCCCTTGGGGATGTGATGTGAACCCACTTGGGGTTGAAATGTAAGGGTGATGCCCAACCTTAGGATGGGGATAACTGCCCACTGTAGGATGAGGCGCTCGAGACCTATGGTCTGAGGTAGATGCGCACGGTTGTGCCATTGGTTCGCGCGTGCGCGTCAGACCTTTTTTTTTTGTTTTTGAAGTAGGGACGTGAAACTTTTGATGGGATGTGAAACCCCTTGGGGTTGAAAGGTAAGTGGATGTACCACCCTTGAGATGAGATGCCCAACTTTAGGATTGGATAGCCCCCCATTTAGGATGAGGCGATCACGAACCACTGGGGTCAGATGCCCAACCTTGGCGATATATGGTGCCACTGATTCAGTGGCAACACGAGTTGAATCTTCCGTGATCATACGCTGAAGGTCTTCTTCGGTTATCTGAACCGTTCGAGAAGTAAGTAGAAATTGATTATGTTGAGGGCCCAGTGGGACCTCACGAGGAGGAGTGTTGGCTCCTACTATGACGATGTATGGTGCCACTGCTTCAGTGGTAGCACAAGTTGAAGCTTCCGCGATTATACGCTGAAGGTCCTTATCGGTTATCTGAACCGTTAGAGGAGCAAGTAGAAGTTGATTTTGTTGAAGGTTCGGCGATCATATGTTGAAGGTCCTCTTCGGTTATCAGAACCGTTCGAGGGGGGCGGAAGTAGGCCCAGAGAGTCGATGACCCATGGCGAGCAAAAAAATTTGGGGGCACTATAAACCCCCAGGGAGTCGATAACCATTGGCGAATGAAATATTTTGGGGGCAGATGTAAGCCCCCAGGGAGTCGATAACCTTTGGCGAGCGAAATGTTTTGGGGGCACTGTATACCCCTAGGGAGTCGATAACCCTTGGCGAGCGAGATATTTTGGGGGCAGAGGTAAGCCCCCAGGGAGTCGATAACCCTTGGCGAATGAAATATTTTGGTGGCAGATGTATACCCCCAGGGAGTCGATGGCGGTGGTGCCATAGGTGGCTCCACATGTGGAGCAGGTGCTGGTATCGCGTTGGGAGCATTTGCTCCCATCGTGGCGATATATTGGGTCACGGCCTCTGTGGCAGCGCGAGTTGAAGCTTCTGCTATCATACGTTGAAGCGCATCATCGGTTATTTGAACCATTCGAGGAGCAGAGAGTGGTGGATCGGCGAGTGGTGGGTCCCTAGGGGGGATCACCTGAACCTCGCGAGGCGAATCCATGGGACGTGGAGGAGGTGGCAAGCCAGAGCCTCCCCGAGGTGGGATGTCGTTAGCTGTGTCATTTTCTCTCCGAGCAGACGCCTCAGGAGGATCTTGTTGGCTACGTGATCTGGTTTGCATCGTTCCCACAGACGGCGCCAAAATGATGATGCTAATTACTTAGATCACCTGGGGTAGTGTAGAAAACGAACTGGGAGCAAAGCAGATCAGTAGCTTGGCAACTTGATGATCCTGAGGTACCTGCGAAATGAACACCCGTGAACTACGCCGGGGGTTGATCCGGCGGAAACCCCTCCGATGCTCAAGTCAGACGTGATGATAGTGGAAATAGTCCAGAGAATACAGTTGATAGTATTGCTCAGTTAATAGGACGTATCTTAAGGAATGAATTCAAACCTTTATTTATAGCTTAGTTGAGATTGTCGGGCCCAAACCTTACTTGAAGGTGATTGGGTCTCGGTGATAGTGGTCTTCGATATTGGGCTCGTGGCCCAGTAGATAAGTAATTTGTAGGCCCATTGGGTTGGCCCAATTATGCATATCAGTAGGGAGCCAGCAAGCTCTTCTCTGCTGTTGAACGAATAGCCACTACTCCACACAGTAGGATCGTCTCTGCATCAATATCCGTAGTAATCGTCGTATTCGATCCACGGGGAATCGTTGTTGAGTGGCCAAGGTGCCTTCACTCTGAATGTCTTCTCTCCGGTTGCCCTAACATTTGCTGCACCACTCAGCCCACTCAAAATTGCCACTGCCAACTAAATCCACAGAAACTAAAATCGCCAACAGATCACCTCTACGGGGCGGAGATTTGGCCATCGAGCAAAATTGAGGTAACAAGGTCTCCGACGGCGGCGGCGGCGCCACCACCTTCAGGACGGCGACGTCGTTGCCGAAGTTCACCGCCAGTGGCTTTGTCTCCAGGGTTCCGATGGCAGAGGAAACGGTAAATTTTGTGGCCATGTGAGATTTGTGAAGGATGCGGCCATGCCCGAACCGGTCGGGTTTCTCGGCCGTTTTTGCTCGTATGAGGTGGCAAAGCGTCCGGCTAAGTGGGCGGAGGTGAGGAGTAAGGTGGGGGAGATGAAAACGCCGCCGCCGTAGCGATCTTCGTGGCCGGAGAATGAGCTACCGATTATGACCACGCTTTTCAATACGGAACTGTAGAGACCAGCGACGTGAGCGTCGAACTGCTCCTCTGGGATGCGGGTGCTCATAAGCCGGCGGCGAGTAGAAGCGACGCCATTACTTCTGAGCGTAGAAACGGCGGCGCGTAGAAGCGACGCCATTTACTTGTAAAAAATATACTATTAATTCACTTCTGCCCTAGATTATATATATATATATATATATATATATATATATATATATATATATATATATATATATATATATATATATATATATATATATATATATATATATATATGGCCTATTTGACAAACACCCTTTGTGAATTTCCACTTCAATATAAATCTATTTTATTAATTCATATTTGACATAAACCCATTTGACTCAAATTATCTTAAATGCCCTTATCATACTCTCTCTCCAAATAACTCTTAAAAATTGTCACGTTATTACAATTGTTTTTTTTTCCACAAAAATTATGATTTTTTTAATTTCAATTTTAAAACAAAATATTAATTTTATTTTATTTCAGTTTTTTTTTTCACCGAATTTTAAATAATATGGTTTTTAAGCCCAATGTTATTTTTTATTTTTTATTTTTTATTTTCAATTTGTATTTTATTTTTTTCCACCCGGGTTACAAAAATTAAAATCCACTATATAGTCATCGAAAACCACTATAAATTTATCGAAAACCACTATAAAATTACCTTGAAATTTACTATAAAATTAACAAAAATTAAAATCCACTATATATTCATCGAAAACCACTACAAATTTATCGAAAACCATATTAAATTACCGTGAAATTTACTATAAAATTAATGTAATTCAGTTTAATCTTAACATAATTCACAACAAACTTATCGAAATCCACTAAAAACATATGTAATTCAGTTTAATATTAACATAATTCACAACAAACTTATCGAAATCCACTAAAAACATACGTAATCCACTACTGACACAGCTCAATAAATAAAACAAACAAACAAAAAAACGTAAATTCACTATTCGTAATCCACTATTTGAAACGTAAACCACTACTATTTCCAAGAAAAAAGTGCAAGAACAATTACGAAAAATTAACATAATCCACTTTCATAATAACATAATCAACAACAAACTTATCGAAATCCAATAAAAACATACGTAATCCACTACTAACACAACTTAAAAAAACATAAATTCACTATTCGAAAATCCACTATTTGAAACATAAGCCATTACTATATCCAGGAAAAAGTGCAAGATCAGTACACCACCACCAATAAGGCCGGCGAGGGTCACCGTATAAATCTGAACAAGAAAAAATATTAATTAACAAATGAAAAAAAACTTCCAAAAGCAAAACTTTTTAGTAACTGAAATTCTTGTAAATCAAGTATAATTTTCTCAAAAATAAAATAAAAATATTATATCAAAGATTAATTAGTAATTATCCCTTTTAAATTTTAATTAGCCATTAAGAAAAACGTCGCCCTCCCTCTACCAGATAAAAAGAGACCCAAAAAATATTATAAAAAAAAATCCGAAAAAGAAAGAAACAAAGAGAATTTCTTGCTGCAACAATTGTTTGAAAAACGGTAGAATTAGAAACAAGAATCAAAGAAAAAGCTATTATAAAAATATTAATTTATAAAAATTAATAGCATTTTTCACAATATTGTTATCAAATAGGGATTGTCCCCCACAAATCCTAAATTCATTGAAAGATGATTGAAACAAAAAAAAATTACTTTTTTCTACCACCGCATAGATATCGCTCGGCGACAATGAAGAGAGAAGAAATAGGGATGGGGGCTGGGGCGGCACAGGGTGGGGATGGGGCGGCGACGGGTGAAGGATGGGGCGGCGACGGGGGAGAGAAGAAACTGGCAAGAGAAAAAAGAAATATATTTTTATTTATGTTCAAGGAACGAGATTTATGGGTGTGATTGAGAACGTGATATTAAAGGAGCTTCAATTTTCAGTACAGGAATTCAGTACAGGGGGGCTTCAATTTTCGGGGGTTCGGGGGCAGCGCCCCCGAGATTTTTTTAGGATTTTTTTGAAAATAGGAAAAGAAGAAACGAGAAAAAAAAAAGAAAAAAAACAAATTTTAGAGTTTTTTTTGTATTAATTTGGATTTTGGGTGGGCTAATTAATAAAATTTGGGACTTTTTTGTATTAATTTAAATTTTAGGTAAGCTAATTAATAAAATATGGGTCTTCTTTTGCATTAAATGAAATTTTGGGTGGGCTAGTAAATAAAATTTGGGTGGGCTAAATAGAAATATGGTATAATATAGGGGGTAAAATAATAAAATGAGAGTGGGCTTGAGTCCACCCTTGCCCAAGGATGGACTCGCCCCTGTATATATATATATATATATATATATATATATATATATATATATATATATATATATATATTTGGAAAAGGTTAATTAATAGTTAAATTACTATATTGTAGTACGGATTTGTACAGAGCCTCCACGCGAGTCAGGTACTGTTGATATGACCAGCTGTTACACTTGGACTAGCCGCAGAAGCGGCGCGTAAGAGTCAACTTCAGTTTGGCGGCGACGAAGCTGGAGAGAACCTTGTTTTTTAAGGTGCATAGCGAATAGCGAAGACACTATTACTTTTAGACTCTGCTAGGGTTTAAGCTGAATGACGTGAGAATAGAGAAGAAGCAACAGCGCGAGTGTTGCCAACATTTGAATTCTAAATTACAATCACCTCTGAAGTATGGTCAAATAACGAAAATTCCCTTCTGTTTGGTTAGTTACAACCACCCCTTAACTATAAATCTTCTTAAATGTCTACTCTTGCGGTTTTAAATTTAGTGGAATCTTCCAAATTATATGGAATATTCTCAAGTTTGTACCCGTCTTATCCCATTCGAGCTCCACTTTTTGAAGCAAGATAATCATAAAATGTGTTTTTTGACTTGTATATATATATTAAATTGTAGTGCATCAGAAACCGTATTTTTGCACAAAACGAGTATAAACTAGAACATATTCCACGAAATCTAGATAATTATGTTGAATTTGACACCATAAGGGTGGAGATCTAAGAAAAATACATAGTTGAGAAGTAGATGTAATTATTCAAACAAAAAGAGTTTTTTCGTAAATTGATCATACCTCTCGAGGTGGTTGTAATTTACTCTAGATATAAATTACGATTTATTAATTATAAGGGGGCAAAAGCAGTAGCCAGGCTACTGAGTCCTGACTGAGTTCATCTATGGATATATATCTACATAGGGACCAAAAATAAACTGCAACTAAAAGCATATGACTAACAAACAAACATCACCCTGGAATTAAATTGCTCTATACTATAATTACAATAATATTAGATTGCAATAATATATAGGTCATCAGTGAGAAAACGTATCGACCGATGAAGTACGTTTTAGGAGTTCCACTTCAACGGTGGCGTTATTTGAGGAATAATCGACCGCAGAATCACCTGCAAACGGATATTAATTACAAATTAGATATATTTGCGTTTGTATTCAAATCTAGTCCGGAAAAGTATGTAATGACCAATGAGTGAAAAGTTAAACTAACTCCGGGAGGAATCTGTTGATAGACGCTCGGGTGATGTGCTATTTGCCTTGTCTGCATAAAACGGAAGTTGCGTAGAAATTTCAAGGGAGTTATTGTACAACAATGTGTGCAAGCAACTAATTACCTGAAGACTTAGTTAACCCTTTCACGGGCTCGAACAATCTGTATGTGTAGCCAACAAAACTCAAATCGTTTGGATTTCGCAACTGCAAGAAATATTCGGGCATTGGTATTTCATGACATGCAAGACATGCAGAATTAAAAAAAAAAAAAAAAAAAAGCGCAAAAATCTCGTTATTTAAACTGATGATATGAAACAACGAACCTTCCGCCAGGCCCCGGAACTAGATTTTGCTGGCGGGGGATCCACCTAGGATATAGATGGAATACATCAGAAAGCTAATAATTTAGGCATATATTAAAAATCTAGACTACAGAGAGTTCTACCTCATCGTATTTTATAAAATTCTGAGTGTCGAGTTCACCATTGACCTCCGGTTTGTACGCTGCTTCCATTTCGTAAAGTTTGTCCCACTTTACATCTTTGAACCACGGATGACTCTGACGATAATGTTGATGGAATGTGAGTAATAAGATTGTTTCATTAATTATGAAACTGCGATCGATGAGAAATGAAAACCTTTATTTCGTCGGCCCCACGAGAACCTATTCTATTATCAACATCACGAAGCAACTTGCGGATCAGGTCTTTTGCTTCTGGAGTTACCCTTGCTTCCATTGGAAACTTTAGGTGGTTTCTCCAGTGCACAATCTGTTGAAATTATCGATCAGATTATCCACACGACGAAAATAAATTTATTTTATCGTGCACTTGGGATTGATTCTCTTTGATAGAATTCATTTGAAACAAAAGAAATGTCTGGATATAACACACCGGAAAAACAAGGTCAAGAATCACGAGAAACTGTTTGACGGTTACCTTTCTGCATGTTGTTATTGGATCATCAGAGTAGAACGGGGGATAGCCAAAAAGCATCTCGTACAAAATGGCACCAAGTGACCACCTGCAACAAAGCTCCTCATAAAAACAAAAGATATAAATAAACCGAACCAATACTCTGTGTGAAGAAACTAACCAGTCACACTCAATCCCATATCCTTTCTTAAGTAATACTTCGGGCGCAATATAATCAGGCGTGCCAACCGTCGAAAATGCCTGTGATGAGAAAAAAAAAGTATTTTTTTCCAGAAAACCATAAGAATATATTTAAGTATGTCCTAATCAAAACGAGCTTCTTTTACCTGTGTTCTTCGGTTCTTTTGCCAATGCTGAAGTTGTTCACGAGGACTCTTCCAAAGGCTTCCATCGCCTTTATCGGGAAAGCATCCGTTTCCATCGACCAATCCTCTCTGATTCTCTCCATTGGTTGGTTCATTCCCATTTGCAGGATACAAATTCGAACAATCTAGAGGCTTACAAAGACCGAAATCGGACAGCCTCATGTGACCATTCTTGTCCAAAAGAAGGTTGTCGGGTTTAATATCCCTGCATTTATATATATATATATATATAAGTAACTAAGTTTTCTACAAAAATCGTTCGACTGTATTTGATTTGTTGTTGAATTGCTGACCTGTGGACGTAGTTGTGCCGGTGAATAGATTCTATCGACAGAACAGTTTGCGCGATGTAAAATCTTGCGACGGTTTCGGTTAAGGTTTCCTCTCTCATCAGCAAAGTCATCAAATCACCACCAGGTAGATATTCCATAACCAGGTACAAGTAATCCGCATCTTGAAACGAACAATAAAGTTTCACTATGTATTCGCTCGCAACTTCAGCTAACAAATTCCTTTCGGCTTTTACGTGTTCAACCTATAGCATATATATAGATACACTTAGCAAATGTTTGACGGATATAAAAGATGTATCTATACATTGATTTGATCTGACCTGCCCCTTTTGAAGCATTTCCGACTTCTTCAACTTCTTCATTGCGTATATATTGCCAGTTACTTTCTCCCGGCACAATCGAACCTATAACAAAACGACACAACACGTTGTTACTAAAACAACGGAATCTAATTATCACATGTTATAAACATGGGAGTTTCAACTTTAATTAAAAGAATTATAAAAGCAATCGAAACCTCTCCAAACGCTCCTCTGCCTATTATGGTTAAGAGCTCGAAATCGTCGACGGAAATCTTGTTACGCTTCAGCCGCATGTACTCTGTCTCTTTGCGCTCCAAATCCTTGAGAAAATTCATCTGCTCTTCTTCTGATACACCCGAATTAGCTAGCATTTTTTCGAGCAGTTGGCGCCTGTGATTCGCATTTATAGTGCATTATGTTGTCAGTGCAGATTCTGTGATTTAATTAGGAAACATATCTTTAACTACTAATTAACAGGTAATCACAATTCAGCTCAGCAGAAAACAGAGAATCTTCGACATGATTAAATAAAACTATTTATCAGAACTCAAATTCCTATAAATAAATTAAAATTCAGATAGATACACCTGCAATCATAAAAACAACACGAAAATCAAATCATGCGATCTAAATCGAAAAAATCGTAAGAAAAATAAATCATGAAATTTAACATATAATTTCGAAAGTATTGATGAAGAAATTGAACGCACATGCACGATGAATGATCAATAAATGCCCCAATTGCATGCTCCTACATATATACATACATATGTATACATATATATGATACCTTTGTCTGCGTTCCTGCATTCGTTTCATATGGGTTTTGTAATGGTTCTCGATGTATTTTTTGGCGGCAGCGGCGCGTTCGAGGGTCAAGCTGGAGCCCATATCCTCCTCCTCCACCACCAATTGTTCATCGATATCCTCCTCCTCCTCAACCACCGCCAAAACCCGCCTCTCCTCCGCCATATTAATTAGTGCGTGAAAATGTGGGATGCCGGAGAAGGCGAGAACCGGTGGGGTGGGTGCGTCGGAAAAGGATCAGAAAATGTAGATGCAAAATTTCGCACCCTTGCGTTTATTACTCAGCTTGTAACCAAAAATATGTCTATCGATATATATATATATACACACATATATGTAGGTGTGTTTGTGTGTGTGAAGTGCCACGTCGGAGTAACCATAAAAAAGCGTGACGACGGCAGATAGTGGAAGGGATAAAAACGTGAGTCCTATATTTTATCCATTTTCTCAGTATTTATTTACTGTCTTTTGTTTTTAAAGTGTTGTTTTATCAAAAAAATAATTAATAACAATTATTATAATAATAATAATATTAATTGTCTTTTGAAGTGAAAAAAGTCAAAAAAACTACGAAGATTAATTTTGTTAATTAATACTCTCTCCGACTCATTCTATTTGTGGTTTTAGAGAATTTTTATTTGTTTTAGAGCAACTCCATTGGTAAAGTATCAAAATCGATCATCAAATATTAATTTGATACTCGTTTTATTATTTTGATACTCATTTACTCCAATCGCAAGCATTAAATGAATCATCTAATTTTAAATACAAGCATAAATATATTTAATATTGACACGTGTCAATTTTTAATTGGTTTGTTGGGTAGTTAATGTTTTGATACCTCTTTATCTAGGATGCAGTTTTTGCATCTCCGGAAGTTGAATATCAAAATAACTACCAATTTAATTTCCCCATTGGAGATGAAAATTTATGTTTTGGATCATCAAAATAGAAGTTATTCCATTTAATTCCCTATTTAATTCCTCCAGTGGAGTTGCTCTTAGATTAGTGGTCACTTTATTTATTACTTCAATAAAGCAGTGTATTTTTCTCAATTTTGTCCTTGCTATTCTTAAGAGAATTAATAAGTGAAACACTTAACGAGAGGGGGTTTTTGGTCATTTTATTATGATTTTTTTGTAGAATCCAGCACGTTTATTAATTTTTGTAATGCGTATGCTCAAAACGACAAATAAAACGGAAAGGACGAAGTAACTTTTTTTTTTCGTTTAACATCGAGCAATGGTGTGCATTTAGCATAAACATCACTAAGAAAACAAAAATGGTTGTTTCTTTATTACATTACATCTATTCTTTTCTTTTCTTTTCTTTTACATATATAATATATATATATATATATATATATATATATATATATATATATATATATATATATATATATATATATATATATATATATAACATTACATCATCTATTAACTTCCTACTCTTCTAACATAAATAACTGTATACCAAGCAATGAAAGAATAAGATCACTAATCAATGTGAGAAATTAGTGCCTGCAAAACTATGATGCAACAACATATGCGCAATCCGATCTCTACCGTTCACCGTACCGCTCGAAGCCACACCACCACTGTCAACGGCCGCCACATCATCATCGAAAAGCTCGAACCTCAACTCATCGCCCAACCCTTCATTCCTCATCTCGCACACGTTATTCAACACACAACAAGCTCCAATAACCACCGGCAAATCCTCGAGCTTCATCTCGGTCCTCTTCTGCAAGCACCGCCACCTGGCCTTCAACCTCATAAACGAATCCCTCGCCACCCTCTGCACATCCTCGATCCTCTCGTTAAACGCGTGCTGCGTCCACGTCAGATTTTGGTGCGAGTATGGAACCAAAACCCAGTCGGACAAACAATACCCCTTATTCCCCACAATCCAAGAACCACCACTCAAATCGCTCTTTTGGAAAAGAGCCGATTTTTCGAGAACTTGTTGGTCGGTCATCGAACCTGGCCATCCGATGCAAATGTCGGTGAAGACGCCGGTGGGGTCCACCACCCCTTGAAGGGTTATTGAATAAGAAGTCTTTTGATTCCTCTCGGTGTGTTTCTTGTTGAAGTACGCGGATGAGTTGGATTTCGGTGCTATGATCGGAATGTGGGTGGTGTACATTGATCCGCAGATATTTGGGATGCCGGAGAAAGATTCGAATTTGTTTTTTATTTCGGTTAATTTGTTTTCGTCTGGCCATTGTAGGAGCTTAGGCATTAGCACGGTTTTTATTGCGGTGCAGACCTCGAGGACTAGTTTGTGGCAGGTGGAAATTCCGAGGCCGAAACGCTTGGCCACCTCCCGGAGGGCTTCTCCGGTAGAGAGCCGCCATATGCAGGCGGCGACACGCTGAGGAACGGGGATTGCTAGACGAAGCATAGTGTCCTTTTTGGTGACGGCAGATTCGAGCTCGTGGCAGATTGTGTCGAAGGTGGCTCTGCTCATTCGGAAGGCCCTTTTGAACTCCTCGTCGGGGAAATCGGGGCTGTTGACCTGCTCCCACCACGCATTTGGCCGGTTTTTCACCCACAGTCGGCGGTGGACGCCGCCGCTCGCGGCGGCGGATGAATCGTCTGGGGGATGGGAGCGCGCCCTCTTGGTGTTCGATGAATTGCCTGAATGAACGAAGTAGGTATCGGCCTCGTGCATTGCTCGATTGCTTTCGATGTAGTTTCCGGCGGCTGAGATTGAAAGATGTGGTGGCGAAGGAACATTCTGGGCGGGGTTTTCTTCCGGCGGGTTGTCGGAAGCCAGCAAATTGGTCAGGAATTCTTGAAGCGACGGGTCATTATCGGAATCGTCGAACCAGGTGTCGGTTCTGGGCCGCTTCTTGGATGTGGGCGAGAAAGAAGAAGTGAACGAGTCATCTGGAAATGGGGAAGACGAGATACCCATTGAATTGAATTCAACGCAGTAAGATGTGAAAGGGTTTGAAGAGACGACAATTAAAGAAGTCTGAACGACAGTGTGAACACCATGACCGAGTTCGTTCCAGATGCATATATATAAATATATATGTGTGTGTGTATACATAGTCGGGGTTGGGTGAAGACTGACTGAAGCGGGACGCGTGAGAGTTGAGACACGGTGAGGAGGAAGATGCTGGCGGACAGCTGCCAGCGGGGGTGGGGGTTTGGACGGTGGCGATTTCTGTTTCGATTTCGGACGAGGAAACCCCATTGAATAAGCTTCTTTTTTTTTTTACTTTACGCGGTTGGGTTTCTTGTAAGGGCATTTTGGGAAATGAGGGAAAGAGTGAGGAAACTCGGTTCATATGGGGCGTGGTGAGGAAGGGTATATATGTAAATGACTAAGGGATCGTTTATTTTAATGTCAAATTACAGGAAAAACACCTCCTGTTTCAACTATGCATTATCTTACGAGAAATTCCTCGAGTTAGATAGATTCAGGGGCATTCATTCGCTAAAATTGTAAAGAAATTGCGGTACCCCAAAATTTTATACGTTTGAGCGTATCATTCAATAATTAACCGAATTACCAAAATTATGTTAGAAATGTTGATTTTTTATATTTTTTTAAAAATTAATTTTAGTTTAAATCTAATATATATATATATATATATATATAATAAAATAAAATTGAATACTACACCGAATTAACGGTTTGATAATTGGCATGTACGAATTTTTATTCGGTTCAATTCAATCGGTTTACCGACCAGATGAACACTCCTATATAAATTTGACATCATATTGATAAACGTGTAAAAGAATATATATTAAGGGTTGGTTATAATTATACAAACAAAAAGAATTTTTTTCGTAATTATAATTACCTCATAACTTGTATTTTAATTGTCCCCGACACCGTGGCACGGAAAGAAAAATATATTTTTTTTCTTCTTATTTTATTCGGAGGTACATAAAGGAACCTTTATATGACATATTCCCCCGAATAGTTTCACATATTTGCATATTAACCCCCAAAACGATGAATGAGTGGTGCTCTGCCACCGAATATCCTCAGCCGTGAAATAATTACTTATTAAATATAATAAATAAATAAATAAATAAAATCCTCACCAATTCTTTGAGCAGTTGAACGATCAATCTCCATTAATGGCTTCTCTACTGAGCCCACCTCTTAATTTACCCATTAACAAGGTAACAAAAACTAATTCTCTGAACAAATTCCTGTTTACTTGCATATATCTGCGCATATACGTATTGATTCTAGGGTTTTGTATTTCTTTTTAGCTTTACAATTGAATCCTTGATTTATTATTGTTTGCTGCGGAAATGAACTGTTTTATTTTTAATTTTGTTTAACAGTAGCTCAAGATTTTAATTTTTTTTAATTAAAATCCTCTGATCACTGTTTTTTTTTTTTTTTTTTTATTTGTTGTAATCAGACGATTCATTAAGGACCGGTTGAAGTAGCTTGGGGATTTTAATATGTTGATTTTATATTAAATTAAATTAAAATAATATATAAATTCTTGAAATCTGTAGAAACCAAATAAAGACGAAGGGGATTCGTGTTTATAATCTAGTAGAAATGAAGTAGTATATATTATTACACTACCATTTCCGTACATTGTATGACGATTTTGTTTCGTACTTCGATTTGGTGTGCATCTTTTACAATTCTAAATCGATTCGATCAATCTTATCAATCCCATTGACATTCCCAAACAGGCCTAAATATGCAGGAATAGCTGCCTAGGTGGATATCGATAGTCTGGAGTGTTTATGTACCGTTTATGTTTGTTCCGGATTTTTTTGGTTAGATTTATCTGTAACTGTATGGCTTATTCGACCTTTGTTTCGTAGGTTAGTCATGGAAATATAAGAGCTCTTGCCGTAAAACCACCGTCAAAGATGGATTATACGCTTTCGAGAAAAAATAGTAAGCAAAGAGCGCAATTTTCGGCAATAAAAAACAAAGCATCTTTGGAGGCAGATGTGCTCGTTAAGGATTCTGTCAACGTTGAAACAGCTGAAAACAATGACGGTAATCATTTCTTAATTCACTCCTTTTTTTAATTACCCAAATTTAAAGAAAAATAATTGATTGTGTTTTTTTTTACAGATTTTGGAGTTGTTGGGGTTCACCATGTTGGAATCTTGTGCGAGAATCTCGAAAGATCGTTAGACTTTTACCAGAATGTTCTTGGTAAATCTTTCTTTCTGCTTCAATGATTATAATTTTTTATCTTTTTTTTCTCTTTAAATAAGAAAACTTGAATTCGTGTCTGAAAAAAATAGGTTTAACAATAAACGAGGCACGTCCACACGATAAGCTACCGTATAGAGGTGCTTGGTTATGGGTGGGTGCTGAAATGATACATTTGATGGAACTTCCAAATCCCGATCCATTGACCGGACGACCAGAACATGGGGGTCGAGATCGACATGCTTGCATTGCTATTCGACATGTGTCTAAATTAAAAGACATCCTCGACAAAGCTGGTAATTACTTTGTCTGAAAATCTATCATCTAATTCATCGTATTCTTTACTAATTCTTTTCTTGGGCTTCTATTATTGCATTTACTATGTTATTATTATTCAGGCATTCCTTATACACTTAGTCGCTCGGGGAGGCCAGCGATTTTCACACGTGATCCAGACGCCAATGCACTTGAATTTACGCAGGTGGATTGATGCAGTGTAAGGAATACAAACATACTTAGACCTGTAAAGATGTGTATCGAGATCTTGTATCGGATATTTCGATTTGGATCGTTGAATTCGCATTGCATGTCGATAGTCAATGTGAATTTGAATTGCATATCAATAATCAATGAACGTGTTTACGTTTATATGTAAGAGAATGTAAATGTCATACTATTTTCTATCTATACAACAAAAATTACTCTGGTTCAAATACAACAATAACAAAAATATTGCAGCAAAAAAATGTCATCATAATCCAAGTATATCGAAATTCGATAAAAAAAAAAAACAAAAAAAAACCTCAAATAAGCCACCAACCGCAGCATTCAAGCACCCACGATTCATCACATAAGTCAATATGAACGAAATTCAACCAAAAAATAGTTCAACAGCCAACATGAAAGAGACCAAGAAAAAGAAAGCCCTGCTGTTTGTCCAATCATCAATTCCAAACAGAAAGAAAAAAAAAAGAAAAAAAAGATCACGCACAAAGTTATAGCATCACGAGTCCAAGTTCCGACGGCTTCAAAGACTCTCTCAGCCGATAGTTATAGAGATAATAATACAACTGACCATCGCCCCTTCCAAATTTGAGCTCCTTCAGAAACGGCTCGTTCTCCATAACATCGAGCGCATTAAAAACATCGAATTCCTTTTGCTTTGCAATAACAAGAGCATCCTGAGTCAGCTGAAGCAGTGGAGTCTTGGTCGAGACGTGATAGAAAGTATAAGCCGCTTTCAAAGTCGAGTAATTCGGATTGTTGAGTATAGACGAAGGCAGCGTATAGAAGCTGAAGAAATCCGTCACTTCACGAGTCTCCGAATTCTCCACCACGAAACTGTCGACCACATTCTCCTGAGGGAGAAGCCAGTGCGCCACCTCAGCATCGTCGAAAGTGGGGGCCACAACAAACCTGCTCAGATAGCCCCTCAACAGAATAGTAACCTTCGGAACATCTCGGATTTCCATTTTTCGAAATCCGGGAGTCGCGGTTGAATTTGGTAATTTATAGAGTTTAATCGCACGGCTCATAGTCATTCTATCTCCGAGCCTAGAAAAACCGACATCGATTAGCTTTTTAGGGTTTAATGTCCTGTGCCAGTACTGGCAAGTGGTGAGTGGGGTGGGGAGAAGAATGCCAGCTGTATATGCCGCCTGCCAAATATTCTCCAAATGGATTCTTCTCGTTACTTCCTTAATCATTACAGGGGCGAGTCTTTTCGATCGTAGTTTTTTGTGCACGCAGAGAAAGTTGACCTCTGCCATTTGAACTACTTCGTCTCGCACCCTCATTTTCACAGGGATAGCGGTGATGAAAGCTACGAGTTTCTTTGAGGACTTAACACGAACACCTATGTGCCAATTCTTGAAATACCCCGGGGGGCGGAGACCCCACCTGAGAAACTCCTTCGAGTAGTTGAATCGGAACAAGTTGTCGTCATCCTCGACGTAATTGTTGGTCAGCAGAACGTAGACTTCGTTGCAGATCTCGTCCGAGTCCATATCGCACACGGTCCATTCGTACAGAGTGGGGAGATTGTAGGGCTCCTGCTTGACTTCGGATAATGGAGTTGGCTGCTCGATGGGGCCCTCGGGGAAACTCGAGTCGCCGAGATCTTTGAATTGGCCGACGGGCTGAGTCTCCCAAAACTTGTGCTCCTGGTGGTTTTGTAAACTCGAGCCTTGAAACTTCTGGACGATGTTTTCTATGGTGTTTTGAAATCGGCTTACGTCGGAATCCTGATCTGGGTTCGGGTTCTCTTTGCTGGATCCGGATGGAGAATCCTTCTCGGCCATTTCGAAGAACTGCAATAAATCCTCAAATCAATATTTTCAACAAAGATAGTGAATGATTGGTCTCTTCTATATTAAATTCGAACTCTTTAATTGGAATTCTATACAGAAAAATACACAGCAGAAGCAGATAATGAAGGGTAAAAAAAACTGTAAGAACTCTTCTACATTGTTCAAACTCATTAATCAGGAAATTATGCAGAACAGTACGCAGCAGAGCAGATAAAAACTGAAGTGAACGGCTGAAATTCACACAATTATTTACTCGTGATTGTAAGAAAACATGTCTGATATTAAAATCAAACTAAATTAATGATTAATTCTAAGGAAAACGTAACAGTAACTTACAATTTCTGGCGATGAGATCGCTTGCACTGGTATTTCTAGGGCTCGAGGAGGAAAGTAAACACTAAACTGGAGTTGAAATTAGGAATTTTGCGATGTGATGAAGGGTTCTCCTTTTTTCTTTTTTCTTTTTTTGCATTTGAGGGTTCGCACTATGATAAATATCTTTTATGACCCCAACTTACTTGAGAAGTTTGCATCCGAAATACATATAATTTATACATTGTTATAAATTATTTATATTATAATCCAACTTTCGAAATTAAAAAAAAAATGAATTGGCGTTTACTAATTTTTTAATAAAGATTAATTATATTATAGATATTATTTATTTTAGCAACAAAATAAAATTAAAAATTAAAAAACTCGCGAACCGGCTCTTGAGCTCATGAACATGTAATCGAAGTTTTTGTCGAATCAACCCATTATCCTCACGAGTCGTTTCGACTCATTGACAGCCATCGAGCACACTGTTATTTTAACTGCAGTTAGAATAATTTTGTTGCAATTTAATTACTAAGTTGATTATTGAAATTAAGAGTACATTTCAATATTTTATATCTGGGCCAAAGTGGTTTGGGTCGGCCCACCACTCTGAATATCATTTCTTAATGGGCCCTTACTTTATACATACATCAACAAAAAGTCAACGCTACTCCACTTAACAAATAGTTTTTATATTTAAATAATCCTAATACTTTTGGATTATTTATAGGCAGCGACTATATGCAATCACAAAAATTATTTAGGGGAAGACCAAATCTAATTTTTCATCAAATGAATTATTAAAAGACTGTTATACCGTTACTGAAATACAAAATCCACAATTACAAAATTCTACAACTTCCTTTGAGCAAGACCACACAAGCAAAACCCATTTCACACAAATTCTTCAAAAAAAAAAAAAAATTCTTCATCTTCTTTAAAAATCCTCAACACCCAAAACCATCAAATCTTACTAAAACATGCAAATGATAACATTATGGAGTCACGAGACATCAATATGGAGAATTCTATAGAAAAAATAGAAAACAAACTATGAATGAATGTATTTTTAATTTTTTATAGTTAGGTGATCGATTTTTAAGTTTTCAAAAAGAAAATTCGCACAGTCAAAATTCGACATTGACATGTCGAATTTTGTCACAAAATTCGACATTTAGATGTTGATTTTTTAGCAAAAACTCGACATCAACTCTAGATGTCGATTTTTGTGACAAAAATCGATATCTACATGTCGATTTTTCGCCAAAAAATCGACATTTAAATGTCGATTTTTCACCAAAAAATCAACATGTACGGGTCGAATTTTCTTCTTCTTCTTCTTCTTCTTCTTCTTCTTCTTCTTCTTCTTCTTCTTCTTCTTCTTCTTCTTCTTCTTCTTCTTCTTCTTCTTCTTCTTCTTCTTCTTCTTCTTCTTCTTCTTCCTCCATATTCTTTTTCTCTTCCTTTTCAAGCACCCGTGGTTGGGCGGCGGCTATTCTTCGGCGGTGGATGGGCGGCGACAATTCTTTGGCAGTGGATGGGCGGCGACAATTCTTCTCGTCTTGGTTCTTCTCTTCTTCACCTAGAGTAGCCCCCTCTCTCGAATTTCAGATTCACGAGGATTTTTTTTTCTTTTTGGTCTTGCAAGAGTAATTATGTCTAATTTGAATGAATAGTATCAAAATCAATATTGGGGTTATATTTGTAATTTTCAGTCTTGCTCTTAGTAAATTTATTTATATTTTGGTCTTGCATCAAGTAAGGTCTTGTTTCTTATAAGTTTAGTCTTGCAAATATTCGTTGCCATTCT